TGACTGTATGAAATGCTGCACCACTTTTGTCCCCTCTCACAAATAGAGCCTAACAGTGGGAGACAGACCCTCGCTCCCACATGCACCTCCATCTCTCCCCATTCCTAGAAAAGGCCATGACCTCAGTTGCAATTTCTATGAACATCTGGAATTCTCACTATACACACTCTCACATTCCTCCATCCAGTTACACTCCACACATGCATTTCAGGTTACTGAGGCCCTCTTCTATTCAAACCTCACATGCTGAGCCCCCCCCCCCCCCTTTACAATCCCTCGGGTTTACAAGTTACAACTAACCCTCAACTCTTTGCATCATCTCTGCTGGACTCAAGTGGTTTCTACAGCTTACACATTTCACTCACCAAGCTGGTTGGCCAACATCTCTGCAAAAAATCTCCTGCGCACACTCTCTGAATATTTGCCTAGGAGGACTACATAGTAACATTATTTAGTCAGTTAATTATTTATATCCCACTCCCCCCCCCCCACAAAAAGAACCCTTTGACTCTCAAGGTAATATTAAAAGTGGCTCTCAATTTCATAAAACAGAAGCAAACTATTTACAATCTCTCTGTAAAACAACAAAATGCAATTAATAAGGATGCAAACTCTTTAAAATGGTTCCGTCACAACAATACAGCAACACAATAGCCAAAGCCTAGTCAAAACAATAGGCAAATCCTTTGTGGCCAAAACCACATTCCTGGCGGTAGTAGTGACCGCCCCTGGGTATATGTGTGTATGTATAATTAAAAAATAAACAGCTTTTTCCTCATTGTTCATTTTTATTTTTTAATTGAGTTTGTCAATCAGGAGAGAGCACAAGCTGCTTGCTTTTTAAACATCCAAAGAAACAGGCATCTTTATAAAGAGAGTGAGGGGTTGTTGGGTTTGCATTCTAGCCATGCAAGCACGTTGTTGTTGATTTGCTTTCTAAACGCATGCACACACGAAATAAAGGGAGTTGTTGGTTTGCTGTTTAACCACACACACACACACACAGATGCATGTGATATAGAGGGAGTTTTTGGGTTTGCTGTTTAAACACACAACCACATCGTTGTTGGTTTGCTTTTTAAACATACACTGAAACACACACACATAAGGTCATTGGCTTGCTTTTGAAATACACACATATACAGGCAGTCACCAAGTGACAAACAAGATCGGTTCTGTGAGTTTGTTCTTAAGTTGAATTTGTATGTAATTCAGAACAGATACATTTTTAAGGAACTTCAACCAAATATATATATTTATACATACATAAAATGCTCTGTGCATAACAAAAGAACCAATGAACGAAATCACACCAAATTTAGCAACAAAACATCTCATAACACAAGGAGTGACCATCACTCAAAACATTATGATTTTGTCATTTGGGAGTTGTAGTTGCTAGGATTTGTAGTTCACCTACAATCAAAGAGCATTCTGAACTCCACCAACAATGGATTGAACCAACTTGGCACACAGAACTCCCATGACCAACAGAAAATATGGAAGGGTTTGGTGGGCATTGACCTTGAGTTTGGGAGTTGAAGTTCACCTACATCCAGAGAGCACTGTGGACTCAAACAATGATGGATCTGGACCAAACTTGGCACAAGCACTCAATACACCCAAATATGAACACAGATGGAGTTTGGGGGAAATAGACCTTGACATTTGGGAGTTGTAGTTACTATCTACAATCCAAGAGCATTCTAAACCCCACGAACAACAGAATCAGGGCAAACTTCCCACATAGAAACCCCATGACCAACAGAAAATACTTAAGGCCACCCAATCCAACTCCCTTCATCAGGGCAAGAAAACTTAATCAAAGTCCTCCTGACAAAGAGCCATCCAGCCATAGAGATAGATATGATTCACACACAGAGAGAGATATAGTATCATAGATTTGAAAGGGACCCTTAAAGAAGGACAATGATATCTTGCATGTTCCAGGGTGGGCAAACCAGACACTCTCCACATCAACACTGACAAAGAAACAGCAAGAAATACTGTTTACCCATAAGCATAAAGACATTACATATATTAGAAACCAACACTTTATTTTCCAGATCAACAGACTGGGCCACAGCAATGCGTGGCAGGGGACAGCCAGTATATACATACATACATACATACATACATACATATATATATATATACATACATACATACACACACATACATACACACACACATACATACACACACACACACACAAGCTTATCCAAAGCATAGGGAAGGGTTAACACCCCTGTGGTGTTTGTTTTGCTATCTGTGCCCCTGTTCAGAAGATTTCACTTCACTTTCTTATTCCTGTGATCATGGGATTTTGGAAATTTTAGCTTGTTTTGGAAACAAGGATTGGAGATAAAGCTTCAGTGAAGACCTGCTCCCCCATGATAATAACTCTTTCAGGAGTCGATTTCCCTTCCAAGTGATAGATTTCTCTCACTTCCTGTTGTCGCACCCCCGTTCTTGACTACAAGCCGTTTGTAAATCGGATGTTTATAACTTGGGGAAATGAGAGAGCTGTTGGTTTGATTTTTAAATGCACACTGAAACACACAAACACGATATGAGTTGTCGTTTGCTTTTTAAACACACAGTCCCAGGATACACAAATGACCTGTCCTGAGGAGAGAGCCGATGTCTATAAGATAAAGAGTCTTACGAAGTAGACAACTGGGTGGGATGAACCCCACTGAGAACTCCTCACATTCCCCACCCATGTTCATATCTGTGTGCCTGGGCATGTTCACACGTGCGTTATGTCTCCACAATCAGACACAAAGCTCACAGAAAAGGAGATCCCCTCCAATTTCCCCCAAGCGCTACCTTCACAACAACAGTGTATAATCTCAAGTGAGCAGGTATTTTGGACTTTTTTCCCCTGTGTCAGAAGAAACGTAACTGCAAGTCGTTTCTGGTGTGAGAGAATTGGCTGTCTGCAAGCACATTGCCCAGGGGATGCCTACTGGCTGTTAAGAATTGTGGGAGTTGAAGTCCAAAACACCTGGAGGCCCCAAGTTTGCTCATGTGTAAATATAGATTGAATCTGTAGCCTTTACATTGTTTGTAGTTACATAACAGCCCAATGCCTGCACTACAGGGATTGCCCCCCTTCTCAGGAGTGTAGAGGTAGGGCCAAATCACAAATCAATGCACAAGATCACCTCACAGGCACAATTATCACCTATCTCAGAGACACACAATCATCACAGGCAGCAAGTCACCCCAAAGAATTTCCTCACAGAATAGTCGCAGATGCTGAATTTCCTCACAGAAGGCTTTTAAGATTGTCAGGGGGCTGGTGTGTTTTTTATATGCTTTTAATGATGTTTCATACTTCTCAATACTTTTATATTTGTATATTTTAAGATGTATAGCACTGCTTTTAGTTGTGAGCCGCTTTGAGTCTCCGTATAGAGAGAAAATGCAGAATATAAATAGATATAATAATAGTAGTAGTAGTAGAAATCCGGCGTGTGATCCGATACAACAGCCAGCAGAGTGATCTTGTCTGCTCTGGACTCATCTTGTGTTTCAAATAATAGCAATAAAATTTATCAGGCATCAAATTTCTTCACAAAATAGGCTCAGGTATCAAATAATACAAAAATCAACTCATGGACACAACGTTTCACCACAGACATAAAACTTCCATGGCAATAGCGCCTTATAAGACAGAAAACCTCACAAAAATCACGCAAAATCATAGCACAGAGACATAATTTCCTCACAAAATAGTCCCTGGAGCCGAATCTCCTCACAAAATAGGTACCAAATTTCTTCACAAGATTGTCAAAGATGCCAAATTTCCTCACAGAATAGTCTCAGACACCGAATTTCCTCACAAAATAGTCTCGGAATTTCCTCACAAAACCGTCACAGGCACCAAATTTCCTCACAAAACAGTCTCCGAATTTTGTCACAAAAGTCTCACCAAATCTACTCACAAAATAGGCACCAAATTTCCTCAAAATAGTCACCGAATTTTTCCTCCTGAAATAGTCACCGAATTTTTTCTCACAAAAATGGTCTCCACATTTCCTCACAGAAGTCTCTGAATTTCTTCACAGAATAGTCTCACAGAATTTCCTCATAAAACAGCTTCCAAATTTCCTCAGAGAATAGGCACAAAAATTTCCTCAGTCTTGCCTAATTTCCTCACAGAATAGTCTCACAATTTCCTCAGAGAATAAGTCTCCAAAATTCCTCACACGAGTGGCACCGAATTTCCTCACAGAATAGTCTCACAATTTCCTCACAAAATAGTCTCACCGATTTTCCTCACGTAGTACTCTCACAATTTCCTCAGAGAATAAGTCTCCAAAATTCCTCACACGAGTGGCACCAAATTTCCTCACAGAATAGTCTCAGGCAAACATGTAATCCCCCCTCCCTCAATATATAAACACACACACACACAAGGACACAACCAAATAGCCTCCAAATTTCCTCACAGAATGGGGTTAGGGTTTCCTCACAAAAAAAAGCTGCCAAATTTCCTCAGAGAATAGGCACAAAAATTTCCTCAGTCTTACAAAAGTCTCAGAATTTCCTCACAAAACCGTCACAGCCACCAAATTTCCTCACGAAATAGTCTAATTTTGTCACAAGAGTCTCATAGAATCTACTCACAAAATAGGCACAAAGTTTCCTCACAAAATAGTCTCACTGAATTTCCTCATCAAATAGTCACCAAATTTTTCTCACAGAATGGTCTCCGAATGGGGTTAGGGTTTCCTCACAAAATAGTCTCACCATTTCCTCAGAGAATAGGCACAAAAATTTCCTCAAGTCTCGCCTAATTTCCTCACAGAATAGTCTCAGAATGTCCTCACAAAATAGTCTCACAATTTCCTCAGAGAACAAGTCTCCAAAATTCCTCACACCAGTGGCACCGAATTTCCTCACAGAATAGTCTCAGGGAAGCACGTTACCCCCTCCCCCTCCTCAACATACATACACACACACGGACACAACACAGTTGTGGGACTGACCCCAGGACTACCAGCTCCCCGTATTTGACGGGCTCCTTGTTGGGCGCGCAGTGCTCCTCCTGGCTGGGGGAAAACATGGGGCCGCCACAGCCGTTGTTGTTGTTGTTATTGTCCTCGTCTCGCTGCTGCTCCTGCGATAATCCCAATGGGCAGACGCTGAGGAGAAATGAAAGCTTCCAGGCGGGCGGGCGAGAAACAAACCAACGGCTCTTTTCCTTGTGCGTTTCTTGCTTTGCTTTGCTTTGCTTTGCTTTGCTTTGCTTTGCGCGCCCGCCGGCGCGGAGTCTGCCTCACTCTCTGTGTATCTCTCTCTCTCTCTTCGCTTCTTTCTTCCCTCCCTCCTCCTCCTCCTTAAGGGAGATCGGGAGAGACCAACGAGCGCCTCCCCCTCTTCTCTCAACGCACGCATAGGGAAAACCTCCCCACCCCTCTCTCTCTAGGCTCTTCCCCTTTTTCTTCCCCGCTCCTCCCCCTTTTCTCCATCGCTCCTCCCCTCCTTCGTCAGCGGTTCTTCCTCTCCCTCTCCCCCTCCCCCCCCCGTTTTCCCTCAAAAGCAAAAATGGTATCGTCCGGCGTGTTATGTAAACATAAGAGTAAGGGAAAGAAGGCGGGGAGGCTCTTAAAGGGACCGCGGTTTTTTTTTCTCTCTATTCCTACATAACTGGTGTTGTATGATATGAGAGGGACAAAGGGGGGGATTGGTTCAGCGCCACCTAGAGGTAGGCCTCACATTTGTGTGTGTGTATGTGCATAATATATATGTGTGTGTGTGTTTGTGTGTATATGTATGTATATGTATGTATGTATATACACATACACATGTATGTATGTACACATACACATGTATGTATGTACACATACACTATATATATATATACACACACATACACCATATACACACCCATACAGACGCTATACACACACACTATATATATATATATATATATACACACATACATATGTATGTATGCACACATACACTATATATATATACACACACACATACACCATATACACACCCATACAGACGCTATACACACACACACACTATATATATATATACACATACACATGTATGTATGTACACATACACTATATATATATATATACACACACACACACCCCATATATACACCCATACAGACGCTATACACACACACACACTATATATATATATATATATGTATATGTATATGGTGTGTGTGTATAGCGTCTGTATGGGTGTGTATATGGTGTGTGTGTGTGTATATATATATAGTGTATGTGTATAGATGGTGTATATATATATATATGTTGTATGTGTACATATACATATATAGTTTGTATGTATGTGTGTATAGATAGTGTGTGTGTGTATATAGATGGTGTGTGTGAATGTATGTGTATATAGAAAGTGTGTGTATATATAGATGGTGTGTGTGAATGTATGTGTATATAGATTGTGTGTGTGTATATATATATATATATGTGTGGTGTGTGTGTATAGCGTCTGTATGGGTGTGTATATGATGTGTATATATATATACGGTATGTGTATAGATGGTGTGTTGTATGTGTACATATACATATATAGTATGTATGTATGTGTATATAGATAGTGTGTGTGTGTATGTGTGTGTATATGTATGTATATATATATATATGTATATATATGTATATATGGTGTGTGTGTATAGCATCTTATGGGTGTGTATATGGTGTGTGTGTATATATATATATATATGTTGTATGTGTACATATACATATATACTATGTATGTATGTGTGTGTCTATAGATAGTGTGTGTGTATATATATATATAGATGGTGTGTATATATATATGATGTGTATATGGTGTTTATGTGTATATATACACACATATATATATAAGGAGATTCCATCTGAACACGAGGAAGACCTTCCTGACTGTGAGAGCCGTTCAGCAGTGGAACTCTCTGCCCTGGAGTATGGTGGAGGCTCCTTCTTTGGAAGCTTTTAAACAGAGGCTGGATGGCCATCTGTCAGGGGTGCTTTGAATGCAATATTCCTGCTTCTTGGCAGGGAGTTGGACTAGATGGCCCATGAGGTCTCTTCCAGCTCTATGATTCTATGATTAATTATAGTCAACATGCGCATTGCATGCAGCAATGACATCTCTGTGCAGTTCCCTCATACATGCGTGTGTCAGTGTGCACACACTCGATGAGTATGAGTCACATTTTATGACATTTAGAAGGCTACAGAGTGGGAGAACATCTTCAGAACTTGGAAATCAGACAGCAGGAATGGAGAAGAGTGTTATCTTCAGGGTTCACGCGAGGGGCAGGGTGAACTCCAGCAAAACTTATTCCAAGTTAGACATATTCAAAGCAACTGTGAAAGAATGAGAACAAGATACAAGATGTCTATAGATATATAAGTTAATGTATGTTGGTTGGTTTGTGCCACAAAGACGCCTACATGTCCTGATGGATCTGGGCCAAATTTGGCACACTTAACCTTCATTACCCAACTTAAAATAATTGTATGCTTCAGCTACAAAATAGGCCCCTGTTTGGGGACAGGATCCCACAGATCAACAAAAGATGTGTGCACCACAAGAAGCAACCATAAGAAGGCAGTATATAGATAGAAAGGTACCACAGAGGGAGAGGTAATAAGTGAAAGAGTGTCAAACTTTTTTTTGTTGTTCATTCGTTCAGTCGTCTCCGACTCTTCGTGACCTCATGGACCAGCCCACGCCAGAGCTCCCTGTCAGCCGTCACCACCCCCAGCTCCTTCAAGGTCAGTCCAGTCACTTCAAGGATGCCATCCATCCATCTTGCCCTTGGTCGGCCCCTCTTCCTTTTGCCTTCCACTTTCCCCAGCATAATTGTCTTCTCTAGGCTTTGCTGTCTCTCATGATGTGGCCAAAGTACTTCAACTTTGTCTCTAGTATCCTTCCCTCCAATGAGCAGTCGGGCTTTATTTCCTGGAGGATGGACTGGTTGGATCTTCTCGCAGTCCAAGGCACTCTCAGAACTTTCCACCAACACCACAGCTCAAAAGCATCGATCTTCCTTCGCTCAGCCTTCCCTAAGGTCCAGCTCTCACATCCGTAGGTTACTACAGGGAATACCATGGCTTTGACTAGGCTGGATCTTTGTTGCCAGTCTGATGTCTCTACTCTTTACTATTTTATCGAGACTGGACATTGCTCTCCTCCCAAGAAGGAAGCGTCTTCTGATTTCCTGGCCACAGTCTGCATCTGCACTCATCTTTGCACCTAGAAATACAAAGTCTGTCACGGCCTCCACATTTTCTCCCTCTATTTCCCAGTTGTCAATCATTCCTGTTGCCATAATCTTGGTTTTTTTGATGTTTAGCTGCAACCCAGCTTTTGCGCTTTCTTCTTTCACCTTGATTAGAAGGCTCCTCAGCTCCTCCTCGCTTTCGGCCATCAGAGTGGTGTCATCTGCATATCTGAGGTTGTTAATGTTTCTTCCAGCAATTTTCACCCCAGCTTTGCATTCATCCAGCCCCGCCCATCGCATGATGTGTTCTGCATACAAGTTAAAAAGGTTGGGTGAGAGGATGCAGCCTTGCCGTACGCCTTTCCCAATCTTGAACCAGTCTGTTGTTCCGTGGTCAGTTCTTACTGTTGCTACTTGGTCCTTGTACAGATTCCTCAGGAGAAACTTTACAAACTTTACAAGGAAGATATTCTAAAAGCCACTCAAAGGGCCAGAGCATTGCGACAGAGACATTGTAAGAGAGGCCTTTTCAGATAGTCAGTCAACTTCAAAGTGAGGTGGAGAATATTTATATTATGATTATTACTAGCCGTCCCCTGCCACGCATTGCTACGGTCCAGTCTGTGTATATGTGTTTTGTGTGATTATGTATGTGTATATGTGTAATTTATATTATTGTTATTATTACTAGCAGTCCCTTGCCACGCGTTGCTGTGGTCCAGTCTGTGTATATGTGTTTTGTATGATTATGTATGTGTATATGTGTATATGTAGTTTTGCACATGCGTTGTAATGTATTTTTAATTTTTTTAGCTTTTTAAGTCCCTTCTGCTGTGTTTTTCAGCTTGTTTTCTACTGCCCTTGAGACTAGGATGCAGAACAATGGCTTCAAACTACAGGAAAAGAGATTCCACCTGAACATGGGGAAGAACTTCCTGACTGTGAGAGCTGTTCAGCAGTGGAACTCTCTGTCCTGGGTTGTGATGGAGGCTCCTTCTTTGGAGGCTTTTATGCAGAGGCTGGATGGCCACCTGTTGGGGGTGCTTTGAATGCAATTTTCCTGCTTCTTGGCAGAATGGGGTTGGAATGGATGGCCCACGAAGTCTCTTCCAACTCAAGAATTCTATGATTCTATGTATGGTATGCTTTATGATGTTTTTTTAATGGCAGAAGAATGGTTTTAGCTTCCCTAGGAAGGCAACTCCAGAGACTTAAACAAGCCACGGGAAGGCTTTGGGTGCATCTACACTGTAGAATTAATGAATGCAGTTTGCTACCTGTGCTGGTACGGCTTCAGCTTCATTTTCTTTCTATTGAGTGTTTGCGTATATTCCAAGGTTCCATGCATTTTGCAGTAAGGTGGCTTCCCTTGGTTTGCAATTATAGGGCCAATGACCTGCCTATCATTGTTAAGTTTTGGTTCCGCCCCTTTTTCCAGGGCTCTGGGAGGGAAAGGGAAGCATTTTTAGTTCAGTCTTATAGTGAAAAGCTTAGCTACAGGACGTGGATCAGCTCAAGCTTGGTTTCTCACAGCATCCGGGGGAAACAGTTCCACATCTTTCGTGGAAAAGATCCAAAAGGACTCCAGCTGGAGAATCTACAAAGCCTTGGCTGATAGGTCTACTCGGGTAACCAGAAGCAATTGGAGCCGGGAGTAGAGCCCACACCAGCAAGCATAGGAAGTAGATTGCCTGGGAGGGGTTAAAAAGGGTTGGATGGGGTTACACTCCCCCTGAAGACGCAGGTTCACAGCTTGGGTGTGATCCTGGACTCATCACTGAGCCTGGAACCTCAGGTTTCAGCGGCGACCAGGGGAGCATTCGCACAGTTAAAACTTGTGTGCCAGCTGCGCCTGTACCTTGGGAAGTCTGACTTGGCCACGGTAGTCCACACTCTGGTTACATCCCGTATAGACTACTGCAACGCTCTCTACATAGGGTTGCCTTTGAAGACTGCTCGGAAGCTTCAAATGGTCTAACGCTTGGCAGCCAGGGTGCTAACAGGAGCAGCACTCAGGGAGCAT